AGAGAGAGAGAGAGAGAGAGAGAGAGAGAGAGAGAGAGAGAGAGAGAGAGAGAGAACGCTTTTCTGCTGCTTGCCTTTTTTTATGCCTGAGTACCTTGCTGACAAGTGCTAATAACAAAATACCCAGAGAGAGAGAGTCCAGTTGAAGTTGGCACACATTAAACATTCTGGACTTGTCCCTTTGCTCAGAGATTGTGCATAATTAATAATTAAACAGTTTCGGTTGTAATGGGTTGACCTCGCTGAACTGTTCATTACTCACAAGGCAAAGGCATCATTCAAACTTTTTTCCCAGTGTCCTTCGCTGTTCTCTGGTGTGCGGCCTGCCTGTGTTCAGTTGTTTAGCAGAAGGAACTTACCAGATAGTTATGAAGCCTCTGAGACTGGCAGACTGTCCCCTGCATGCCCAGAACTGCTTACCGAACTGCTTCATAGCGGCTCCTGTCATTTAGCGGCTGCCTGCTCGGTGGCAGGATCCAGCTTGTGGTCCTTAGCAGGATTCTAAAGTTGTTTGGGGATTCAAGCCTCAGATTAAAGCTTTTGGCTAAGGTTGTGCCTACTCTTGTGGTCCAGACTTTCATGCTTAGATGCTTACAGAAAACTTGTAAACAAGAAATCCCTTATGGTAACATCCAGTACCCATTTTAGTACCTATTCCTCCCAGTTTCCACCAGCATTTCTGAGGTGGTAGTGAACTGGCTTCTTCAGTCAACATGTGTGTTTTCCAATGCATTTCTCCCTCTTGCCTGAGTCCAGTTCACAAGAGGATGTTTTTGGTATGTAGCATCTCCTTTACTGAAGTCTCTGAATCCCCGGGATGGGTTTCAGTCCCCTCCAACCCACCCCCCAATGATGGGATGCTTTCCCTTCTGGTGCACCCTAGGGGAGCCAGAACCCAAATTTTAGTGTGTGCCTGAACCCCTCCTTCCCTAAAATTGGAACAAAATAACAAAATAAGAAGATTCTTGGAAGTCTTTCTCATCCTGAGCTACACTAACTTTTAATTTTATTTTCTTTAAAAAAAAAAAAAAAAAAAAAAAAAAAAGAATGACCAGGCAATGTTGATGCACACCTTTAATCTCAGCGTCAGCAGCCAGAGGCAGGCGGATCTCTGAGTTCATGGCCAGCCCAGTCTACATAGTAAGTTCCGGGATGGCCAAAGCTGCACAGAGAAACCCTGTCTTAAAAAAGAAGAAGGAGAAGGAGAAGGAGAGGAAGAGGAAGAGGAAGGGGAAGGGGAAGGGGAAGGAGAAGGAGAAGGAGAAGGAGAAGGAGAAGAAGAAGAGAGGAAAAGAGGAGCTTGAAAAGATCTCTGGAGCAGCATATATGTTCTCTTGGTGTGTTAGCAGTCTGCTTTTGTGGACTCCCAAGCTCTCCAGGGGCTACCTTTGCCTCTGCATGTGTGGTTCCTTCTACCCACTTTCTAGCCAGCCTTCTGCTTCTCAGAACAGCCTTCCTTGAGGCAGGGAAGAGACATGGATTTTAAAATGAAAAAGGAATATGTGGCAGCATACACATGAGATGAGACTGGCTCCCACACGTCTCCGATGAGTGATTTCTTCTAGGCCCCTCTGAGATGAGAGTCTGCTCTCTGTGGCTCTCCAAATTCAACATGGGCTGCTGTTTTCAGAAGTAAAATAAATTATTCATGGCTACCACCCGGTGTTCCACAGTTTTATAATATGAGGGACGTAACAAGCTATAATATTAGGTCTTAAATAAAATTAAATATCCGTACAAAGTGCTGCGTGTCTCATCTCCCTTCGGCTGTGTGGAAGTGACACCTTCATCAAGCTGCCCAGTCTCTGACTCACAATTGACTTTTGGCAGTCCACCTTGAAGCAAAGGCTATATAGCGTCATGCTTTATACAGGAGCTTTGTAGAAATCCAGTCGAGAAGTTTAACCATCTTGGTAAATATTCAGCCACATTGACATTAAGCTTTGTTTTCCTAAATACTGCCTTTGAAAGCTACTCAGCAGTATTTGTTGGCGCATGCCTTTAGTACCAGCACTCAGGAGGCAGAGGCAGGTGGATCTCTGTGAGTTCAGGGCCAACTAGGGCTTCAGAGTAAGAACCCTGTCTTGAAAAATAATAAATAAATAAATAAATAAATAAATAAATAAATAAATAAATAAATAAATAAATAAATAAAGCAACTGCCACTCAGTTGGAGTACCGTGCATACATCCAAGAAAGAAAAGGTCCATGCAGGGATAATTAGAGGCATTTCTTGGATCAGAGTTCATAATTTTTTTTTTTTTTTTTTTTTTTGCATTTTTGACTTTTAACTACTTTCTCAATCATGGTTGTTGAAGACACTAACATGTCATTTATGGATTTTCTTTGTCTTTTTTCTGAGACAGGGTCTCACTCTGTAGCCTTGGCTATCTGGGAGATCACTATGTAGACCAGCTTGGCCTTAAACTCAAGAGATCCATCTACCTCCTGGGACTGAAAGTGTGTCCTAATCACCATGCCCAGCTAAAAATGTCATTTCTTGACCCAGTCGACACACACACACACACACACACACACACACACACGGCTTCCCTCAGAGCAGACCAGGTCGGAAATGGATGCCTTGTTTTGTTTTTGCTTTTCAAATCACTGGCATGTCTGTGGCCATTTTGCAGGAGTGTCATGGAGGCTGGTCTGCTAGTGTGGGTCTTGCGGCTTTTGAGTAGCCCCTTCCTCCTGCTCTGTGTACTGCCTGTGAGTGATGCTTTGAACTTGATGAGCTTTTATTCACACTCCTTCCCTTTGTTTTCTTTCCTTCTGAAAGGCTTTCTCTCCTGATGACAATCTCAAGTCTGGAAGTGCGGCCGTCCCCTCCCGCTCTTGCTTCCACTGGATGAATAAATTCAGGGGTGCCCTTGTAAAAGCCAAGACATAGCTTGTTCATCTTCTCACACATACACACCTTTTTTTTGGGGGGGGGCTGCCTTGGCCCCCTCAGTTCCTTTTGATTTAATTGTATTTTCCAGCAGTTTCCAAATTGTTTGAATCGGAAACAAAGCCTTAATAAGAGTTCTAGTTAATTTTCTGTCTTGTAATTACCGATCTCATTTTTCTGATAATTGGCCACAGCAATTATATGTATATTTACTAATCACGTAGGAGGCTGTGCGGTTGTGTCTCTCTGCCATTGATAATGGCACACATAGTGCAGAGGTGCTTTTATCTTCTTCTCCTTTCCACTACATCAAAGCTGTTTCCTCTCGTTCCCCATAATGAATACATGCATGCATTTGACACAGTTGTGTGCTAGAGAAATTGTTTGGCTCCCACCAAATGCCGCATGCTCTGAGTTCCTAGCCTGCAGCGCTGGAAGGTTGTATGTAATGATATATTGCTCATCCAAATGGCCAAAGCACTCCAAAGCACAGTGAGATTAAAATAAGTCATTCCTTTGTTAATTTAAATAGGTGCATGTATCATACTTTGCGGGGCACTTTGTGTAGGGATGTCAGGGAGGGAAAAAGGCGCCGAAAGGTATTTTTAATAGCAAATGAGAATAGATGAGAATGGAGTCATTTGCAGCTGCCTACTTTATGTGGCTCTCTTGTTCCAACTGTAGGCCTAATGAGATGGCTGTTGAAGTACTCAGCAGTGTAATTTCATTACATCCTGAGCTGCCACGCTATAAACACAGCGGCGCTCTCTGTCACTCGTGGAAAACTCCTAAATTCTTAAAGCCTTCCTCTGCGAGCGGCAACGGGCTTCTCTCCCCGGGTCACGAAGCCCAGGCATTTGTTGCTGTGTAGTTTCCTGCTCTTTCGGAGTCGCTCGCTCACTCACTCGCTCCCACGCCACTCCTGGGTTTTTTTCCATCCGGTCTTGGAGGTGGTAGTTTCTTTCTCATCGTGTCCCCAATTCACGGGCTTCCTGACACCACAGTCGGCCCAGGCTGGCAGAAAGGCTGAAATGCCTTCTCAGGAAACAACTCACCCTCCAAAGTGTCTGTCTTTTAAATTAAAACACACAAAAGCGCGGTGCAAATATATACAGCGAGGGGCAAGCCGTTAGGAGCGGTCAGATACACAAATAAAATGTAAGTAACAGGAAGGTAAATAAATAGCAAATCCAGGAAAAGAAACAAAGGTCAGAACAAGAATAATTTCCCGGCTCTTTGTTAATTACAAGACCATTTGTGTGTTACTTAAATAATCATTAATTTCTCATTTACACTTTCCCTACCTTCCTTCCTACCCTGTGGCTATCATTGTCCTTTTTTCACCTCCCCCCTCTGCTCTGTGCTTCTCACCATCGTAAAATGTGTGGGGCTTGAAATTTGGCATCTCTACTTCCCTGTGTGGAGGAGGGTTCTGCCAGTCCTTTTAATTGGATGAGGCCTTCCGCCATCCCAGCTCCTCTATGAGGTGTGGGTGGAGGGTGGAAGAGGAAAAAAGGGGAAAAAAAAAAAAACTGTTGTCGTGACTTTGGGTGACTTGTTTCCTCCTCCCTCCCAGGATTCACCAGTCCTTCCGCTTGGCGAGTTCTCGGAGCCGTTTGTACATTTCATCACTCAGTGGTGAGTCCCGGTTTGCAAACCCGTCATGCCCTCAATGTAAATGATACATGCCATTAACTCCGAGGGAGGCTCCCGGAGACCTTGTGACTCTCCCTGCCTCCTTTTGGAGATGGGAGGGGCTTCTGGGCCTTGGGCAGCTGGGGCAACAAAGCCAAGAAATTGTTTAAATTATGTAAATGTTATTTACACAAGGGTTGTGGGTGAATTTCAGAGCCCCCCCCCCCAATTTAGTAAACTACTAAGAAGGGGAATCCTCCAACACAGGCACTGTTGCCGTCCTCTGAATTTTCTTCCCAAAATATACATCAGTTTATCGCCCTATTGATGGACCTATGAAGCTTTTTTTAATGTAACCTCGTTAGCCATAAAACTGCCTGTTCCTTAGCCAAAGCAGCCGTTTATTAATTCACCTGATTCTCAGTAAATAACTTGTCCTTAGGTCTATTTTAAACACAATCCTAGGGTCACGCCTCACTGAAGTTTGATGTTAAAGATCACAGAGACCTTTGTTGAGCCCACTCCAACCCTCGAGGGACTGAGAGGAAATCCAGGATTTTGCACAAGGGGTCGTTGGAGCCTCCTAGCAAGGTCTCATCATTTTACCCTGAAGAAACAGAAGGTTTTCAACCCAGGGTTCTTTTTCAGCCCTCTGCCTTTTGCCTCCCGGCAGGACACATCTTTCTTTTATTAGCCCTTTCTCCATGTCCCCAATCTTGCTGGACTTCCATGGGGTGGCCTCAGGGGGCCAGTTGCTCCGCTGCCCTCAGGCTCACCCCAGCATGGGGAAATTACCCCAGAGAGAGGAGACAGATCGGGGACACTGGAATGGTGACCTCCAGAGCAGGAGGCAGGACACACCAAACATTCTGAAACTCCTTCATAACTCCCTGGCTTCTCTCCCTCCTTCCCCCTTCCTGCAGGGGGCACAGGCAGCCCCTGCCGGGAGAAGCCGATGCTCTGGGGCCACACAAGGTGGTGTGGGCAGCTGTGCAGGGTCCTCGCTCAGCTCGAATGGCTGTGCGCTGTCCCCTCCCCCCTCTCATGATCCATCTGATGGTTACACAAAAGTGAAACCAAGAAATATTCCTTAATATAAATGTCAAGCTTTATCACCTTTTTGACTGAGTGTGATATGTTACCTCTTAATGAAAATGTCTCATAGGGTTTATATTCCACCAGAAAAAAAATGAGGAAGAAAATTTCCCCCAGATCTAAAAATTGTAATTGCTTCTATTTACTTAAAATACTTATGTCATATTCTGTAGCTTCTAGAAACTATTTTTACTCCAAAAATCTTTTGTTTTCAAAGCATGCCATACTTGGGGAAAATGCTTATTAATTAAACACCAGGCTCATGAGCTCTTGAAGCTCATTAAAACTGTGCGTTAGAGCCCTGGTCCAGAAACAGATTAATCTCTTAATTTCCTACACATGCAATTCCTGAAAACACTCAGAAGTACATCATGTCCCACTAGATGCAGAAATTAGGAAACAAACTGCAGTTTCAGGCTGCCTGGAGCCCTGGCTTTGGGCATCACAGAGAGAGGTTGGATTTCTGCATGGTCTCTTGTGTGGTCTGAGACCAGCCTGGAGGTGGAGTGAGCCAGGCACCCGGGGAGAACAGTGTGTGAAGCTTTACCACCCTCCCATCCAAAACATTAATAGGCTGTTATATAAAAGTTTTCTGGAGACGGGAAGGGTAACCTGTGTTAAAGTCTCCACAGATGTCAGCTGAAACAGAAGGGATCCTGGGTAATAGCCTTGTTTTCCCAAGAGATACAGCTACTTTGGAATGTCAGATTAGGACTGTTACCAACTCCACTGGCGAGACAGCTTGAATCACTTGCTAATGGATGCAGCATTTGAGAGGTGCATATGGTTATTTATAGAGAAGGCAAATGTCCTCCATGTCATTAATGGTTCATAGCTATGGTTCTTGTTTACCAAATGATCATTAATTCTCTCTATTTAAAAAAAAAAAAGTATTGTCAGAAAATTCACAGTCTCTTTCCTGACTTCATCTCACCAATGCTCTGAGTATAGAACAAATGGCTACAGGTAGGCAGCTGCCCACCCTCACCTCTGTACCATTTGCTCCTTCATCACATAGCTAAGTACATGCAGCTGCTACTAATTGGAGCTACTGGAGAGAAGACAGGAAAGAGTTTGCGTGAGCAATGTAATTCTTTAAGGGGCTTAACTAAACTTAACTGTCTCACAACTGTGAAAGGAATTAGCACCTTACATCTTAGTGAAAATAAATGCGAGTCAAGAAGAGGTGTAAGAAGCCATCTGTGGCCTCGTGGCATCGTCTACACTTCTGGCATTTATTTACAGCTCATCATTGAGCGCCAGAGCCAGAGGGTTTCCTCATGTGACCTGTCACCATCCTTTTTTCCTTCTTACCCCATTGACCAAAACAGAACTATATTGCTCCTCGAATTTAAGATTGAAATAAGTTGGCAACTGAGTCAGCAAGAAGAAAATCCACAGTGATTTCAAGAATAGAATTACAGGACTAGAGGATGGCTCAGTGATTAAGAACACTTGTTGCTCTTGCAGAGGATCTGAGTTCGGTTCCCAGCACCACAGGGTAGTTCCCAACCACCTATAACTCCAATCCCAGGGTATCTGACACCTCTTCTGACCTCTGTGGGCTCCAGGCATGCATGTGCTACACATACATACATGCAGACAAACACACACATAAAATAAAAAAATCTTTTAAAAAGAGAATTACAGTAACTTATCTTTATTTCAACAGTAACTTGAATAAAAGAATTCTGATTCACAGCGTCCCCAGAAGTCTGACTCAAGACCAGCATAAGATCAGGAATGTGTGTTAGTACTTCGGACAAGCATGGAGCTGATGGATTTGCTCTTGGTTATCTGTTGGCTTAGTGGCCGCACTAGAATCTGCTGATATTTTAACTACTGTCTGCACCTTTGGCGTGCCGGCACTGACTTAGCTCAGCCACGGCAGCCAAACGTAGGTTTTAACTAAGTCTATATCATTCTATTTACCAATCAAGACTCGGGAGTCAGATGTTGGGGTGAAAACCCACTAGATCAGAGAAGCCAAAAAGTAAGCAGCTGACCTTCCTTTCTGGCCAGAGATCCAGCAAGAGAAGTGTCTCTCCACTCACCCAAACCGCAAAGACCGCTGAATCGCTAAGTCCCTCCCTGCTCCTTCCTGTGTGTCTTTCTCCATATTCCTGGCTCCTCTGGCTTCTCTGTGGCTAATTCCTGTCAACTAGTATCTGGCTCCGCCCCCTGGTCCAAGGATAACTTTATTAACACAGTCTTGGAGTTTCACAGTGTGATCAAATATCTGGCAACATTTTGCAAACATTCAAATTCCAGCAGAAACAGGGGTGGAAATTAACAGCAAGAAAAGTTTATAAATGTGAATGAGGGTCTTTTGTCTTCCTACTGCAGCATGAGGAAACAGCCCAAAGAAAGACCAGCGCCCGAGGAACTGATGGTAAGTGAAATCTTCGTAGGTGTCTTCGAGTTCTCCGGGTCAGGTTCAGCATTACAACAGAGCCTGGCATGAGAGCTGGAGATGTGGTTCACTTGGTAGAGCACTTGCCCAGCATGCTCAGAGCACTGGGGTCCATTGACAGCATCTAATAATCTAGCATGGTGGTGGCATTTGAGAGTAAAAGCAAGAGGATCAGAAACTGAAGGACTATCCTTGGCTCTAAGTGAGGCTAGCCTGTGATATATAAATCTGCCCTAACCCCAGCCTCCGTAAAACCAGGACATTTAAACAACCCATAGTCAACATTATTTACTTTATTGGGTAGGGTTTTTCTTATTTTCTTATTGCCTGCATAGCACGCAAGCACTCGCCTACTGACCCATATTCCCAGCCCTGGGTAGGTATTTCTGAAGCTCAGACCCTTGAACTTAAGTTTCACTTTTGAAAACCCCACCATTTTGAAGCTTCATGAAGAACTCTTGTCATCTGCTTCATTCAAGGGTCACAACCTAGTGCATGGCTGTTACTGCCTTTCAGAAGTCCCAGGGCTGGTGACAGAAGACAGCCAAAGAAGTTTGTAATGAATGGTGCTGTCCTCCGGGGAATCGTGAATGTAGTGTAGGATCCTCTTGATTCACATGAAATGAAATGAGATCAGTTCACTGTGAATCTTTGGTCTTTCCTCAGAAACAGATACTGTGAGGTGGCTGGTGCTATGTTCCCAGCTCCAAGGCAAGCTTGCTTTGATTGCAAATGACAGTTTTTATTCAAGCAGGGAAAGGAACAGAGATGGTCCTTTTTCAATTCCCAAATGGTCCTTGATTTACTACCGACCATTGATGGGTGTGAGCTGATAGAAGGGTGCTGGGTGGAGCGTTAGTAACAGTGGGTATAGTCTGCTCTGCCTGGCACTTGGGATGCCTCTGTCTACAGGTGACTGCCGTCAGCCAACCTCGGCCTTTTGAAACAAGGTGCATTTTACTCTTTTGGCTCAGAGGGTTTTGTTCTTTGGATCTTGTTCTAAGCACCCAACTTCTGTGTGCCACAGTCCATCTTCACATGGGCATGTCCATTTGATGTCACTTGCAGGTACATTTCTCTTTCATGTCACACTGGACTAGGTCTCACTTTTCTTAAAAGCGTCAAATTAAAAATTCATTCCCAAAACCTTTGCAACTTCTAACTTCTAACAAGACCCATCTTGTGTCCAGACTGAAGGTAGGGTTGGGGGTTTGGTTTGGTTTGCTAGTTAAGTGGTTTGGGGGTTTTATTGTTTGTTTGTTTGTTTGGTCTCTGATGATTTGGAAGATCTTGCAGTTAGTCACATTTGAGAAAGTCTGGAACAGGTTCAAGAAATGGAGACTCATTTACCTGGTCATTATTGTGCTATGGCTGGATAACTCAGCTATTAAACAAAGAAAAGGGGTTTCATAAAGCAGATACCTGTGGGCAAGTATGTGTTCAATGCTGCGGTGAGCTGGCCACTTATAAATAAAACATCTGCGGATCATGTGTACACCCATAAATGCATGTGGATGTATGTTGAGTAAGGAAGACCCCCCTGAGGAAGAGGATACAAGTCATAAAAACAAGGCTAAAGGGTGGGCTCTTAGCTTTTTAATCTCTTATGTATGCTGTTCCATCTTTTAATTAACAAATATATATTTTAAAAAATAATAAAGAAAAACCTAGTCACAGGCAACACCTTCCTGTACTTAATTTTCTCTTTAACTACTCACTGTTGAGAATTGGGTGGAATTTATCCCCAGAGGTCTGGCAGACGTGAGGCAAACCCTTGTGTGGTAGAACTTAGTGAAGAGGGAGCAAACAGTGGGAGATGGCTGCAGTCAGTGGTCAGGGTGATGGAGACCTGCCTGTCTGCTTCTGGTTAAACATCAGACACAATGAGGAGTCCTAGTCTTGAGCCTGAGTCCCATCCTAGAGCCCCCATCTTAAGGAACCGTTTCTCTACTCCTTGTAACATATTAGGACTTTAATTTTCTCTTTACCCTCTCTGCCTGCGACCTATTTGATGGTGCTCCCATCTGAAGACAAGAGCCTCCTCTGGAATACAAGAACTATAGCCCATTTGTCACTGTGGGTGAGGGCCTGTGCTTTTGAGAAAAAAAAAAAGAGCAATTTATCTCCCGCAAGTACAGTAACCCCAGCCAGCAGGGTGCCAAAGAGGGCTGTACTTGGGCTGTGTCAGTGGCGGGGCCCACATAATTGTCAGAATTTCCCTGTGGGTCAGTATCTTCCGAGTTATAGGAAGAAAATCAAAGATGAGGTACTTGAAAAGATGGTAGTTATTGATTCCCCATTTGGAAACTCTTGCGTGAACTCCAGGTGTGGCTATGACTGGGAACACAGCATGGCCCTGCCTGAATAAATCTGAATGCAGGATGGGTGGTCCAGATCAGCCTGGACCCAGGCCCTGGCTGTGCACATAGCAGCGTTCAGACTTTGTATTTAGTTGAATAACCTTACAGACCTAAGTACCTAATATCAAGCCTTAAAAATCATTGTCCATGTCATTCTAAGATTAAACGTGAACCTCAAGGTTGACCAGGCTGGCCTCGAACTCACACAGATCCACTTGTCTCTGCCTCCCATGTGCTGGGATTGAAGGTGTGGGCCACCACCACCCAGCACAAGGTTGAATTCTTAAGGCCATTAAAATGCATATACATTTCAGTGTATATGCTAAACTATTGTTTGTTGTTCTTCAGACCAGATAGCTGTATGCCATAAATGGAAGTCTTATAAAGCTGGACCAAGGAACTTTTAGAATGCTTGCATGTTAGGGACCAAAGTCCATATACTGGGCACAGTTTTCTGGTGCACAGACCTTAAACTGCATGCAGAATGCACTCAAACTGGTCATGTTGCTTCATACCTGTCACCGGTGCTCAGGAGATGGCTCAGCGCTTAAGAGTGTGCACTGCTCTTACAGAGGACCCAGGTCAGTTCCCAGCCTAACATCAGGCAAGTCACAGCTGCCTGTAACTCCAGAGATGGGATCCAACACCTGCTAGCCTTCGCAGGCACCTGCACGCATGTGGTGCATATAAACACACAGTGATATACACAGAAAGTGATAAGAAAGGAAGAAGGAAGGAAGGAAGGAAGGAAGGAAGGAAGGAAGGAAGGAAGGAAGGAAGGAAGGAAGGGAAAGGAAAGGAGAAAGGAAAGGAAAGGAAAGGAAAGGAAAGGAAAGGAAAGGAAAGGAAAGGAAAGGAAAGGAAAGGAAAGGAAAGGAAAGGA